GCCGCTGCTGGACCATTTGAGTAGAGGGTGTCATTTCTGTTCCTTCTGTCCAGAGTGACGAGGACTTCTGCCGTGGGAGCCAATAAAATGACCTGGGGCTTCTCTGCCTCCTGCAGGGTGGAGCCATGTCCACTCTTCTCTGGGACAGCTGGCCAGCTTCCAGGGCCTTCATTCCAGAGCTGCAGCCTCTGCCCCAGCTGTCCCTGTCCCTCCTCCCTTCCTCTCTCTTGCATGTTGCATGAATGTTTATTCAACACTCACTCTGCATGGGGCTGTTTAGCATCTTGCTAGGTGGACAGCACTGAAAAAGATGACCACCCAGGGCCACATCCAGGTTGGGGGGGTGAAAGCATACGACCTGAAGGCCCCTGTCCTAGAGCTGGAATGCAAAGTCAGGACTGCAGATCGAGGCGCAGGGTCCACCCGAGCGCAGGTCAAGTTCCCACCAGCCTCAAGGTCAGTGCGCCTCCTGGGGGGCGCGTGGAAAGCAGTGAACATGGAGAAGCAGGGACCTCCCGCGGGTGCAGAGCGGCCAGCAAAGGTTTGCCACCAGCCGTCTAAGGTGAACAAACCCTCAGTCCGGGGGCGGGCGGGAAGCGCAGGGGCCTCCCTCAGGTGACCGTCTGCAGACCAGGAACCCGCAGGCCCCGCTGGACACCGAGGGGCCTTAGGGGAGACCACGCGGCCGCTGCTTTTTACTGAGTTCCCTCCCTGGCTCCTGGTTGGTTCCTTTCTGTGCAAACGAGGGATCCAAATGGGCACAGGCTGATGGGTCAAAATAGCATCTCCTGATTGGTCGGCTTCACACATTTTCCGCTCTGATTGGCCGGCCAGATGCTCAGCCTGGCCTGGGGGGGCCACCCCTGAGCGCCGCGCCCATCTCCCCATGAGGTCCGCTGACTGCTGACTTCCCTCCACGCAGGGACCTTTCCTCGCCCTCGGGAGCCCGCGCGTCTCGCTCCGAGGCCCTCCTGCCAAAGCCTCTCCTCGCGGAGCCGGGGTCTGTTTCTTACTTGGCGGTGGTCAGGGAAGGCCTCCTGGAGGAGGAGGCCTTTGACCTCATGGACCGCGGTTGGCGGGAGAGCCGGGGTTAGGGAGGTAGTTCTGTTTCACGAAATGGGTATTTTTTACCCTAAAAAAAGAGCGAGAAGGGGACAGGACCGCGGGGCGCGCCTGGGCGCTGGGAGGAGCGAGCTAAAGGCCCGCTTCTCAGCAGGGAAATGGCCGAGGGCCTGACCAGGGCCGCGTGTGCGGGGCCAGCCCTGGGGAGGTGCGCGCCCCC